TAAGTGTTTTAAATCGCAAAATGCCCCTGAGGGTGGCTGACCGCCTCGATTACATGCTAATGGTGGTAGTGAGGAGAGACCAGGGAAAATGAGCCAGAGTAATGGCCTAGAGGAGGCGTCTGGGGAGAGGCTGTGCGTCCCACCGTGCTCCTCCTCCCGGGGATGCTGTAAGATGGGGACCCGGGCAGAGCCTGCCTCAAGTGCTAAAGTAGGGGCGGCACGGAGCCCGGGATGGTTGGACACCTTGAATGCTGGTGAGTGTAGCCTATCGTCATTACCAGTATCCTTACTGGGCACTAAATTTTGAGGGGGGTCTATGGGGGGCCAAAATGACAGTCGAAAGCCCATGTCCTGTACTAGGAGGTTGGTGGGACTCCTTAGAATCGGAGACTTTCAGGGCTAGAAGCAAATCCAGGCAACTCCCTAGTCAGTGCCACCCACCATCATCCCGTTTGCTCTAGGATGCCTCCAGTGGTGAGGAGCTCACGACTTCTAGAGCCATCCCCTGCCCCTCCGCGCCCTGCTGAAAGCCCTTCAGGGGACCCTCCATTGCCCTTGACATTATGTCCGACTCCTTCCGAGGCCCCATGGCCCTCGACGGTTCAGCGCCTGCTAACCTCTGACCTCGTCCACCCCCTGCACCTTCACTCCCTCCTCACCAGCCTCACCGGCCTTCTCTCTGGTCCCCGAACATACTGCTGTTTTCTTCTGCACCCGGGCCTTTGCACATGCTGCTTCCTCTCCCGGGGTGAACCTACTCTTCCGTCTCCTCTAGTTAAACCACCCTCTTTTTTTCAAGTTTCAGCTATTTCACCTTTTCAGGGAGGCCTTCCTTAACCTCCCAGTCCAGGCTAGATGCCCCGGACCTGCTCTGTATAGTCCTCGTCACTCTCGTATCGTTATTACTTGCTAGCTGGAGATTTCATTGTCTGTCTGACTCCGACTTCGACAAGGGCAGGAGCTGCCCCATTTGTTTCTCGGTCCTCATCGTCTTCCCCCAGTGAGTGGCGCATACACATCAAGGCCCCCTAAACGCATTCTCTGATCAGAAACTCACCTGGGCCCCTCTCTGCTAGACAGGTCCGACCCCAGCAGTGAGGGCGGCCACCCTTCCCATTTCACAGGTCAGGAAACTGAGGCTGACAGCTGGGGCTGGAGGAGGGTTATAGGAGATGTTGTACAAGGAGGGCTGACCCTGGTTCACTGAACAGGAACAGTTGCTAATTTCGTTGCTGTTGTCGGTATCATTAGACTAGTCGTGGTGTTCTTGAGGACGCACGGAACATCAGAGTGGGAAGAAAATACAGCACCCACCAAAAGGAGATGGCCAGGAAGTGACACACCCAAGCTCAAGTTGAACTGGCGCCTGGCTGAGAGCCCTGACCTGCCTCTCTCTTCTCCGGGTCTGGAGAGTCGAGTGCAGGGTCCAGCTCTCAGCACTAACAGCAGGGAGGGTTCACAAGGCCCTTGGTGTCCAGTGCTGACCACACGACGTCTCATTTAACCCTTCGATCATCCCTTGAGGGTGCAGCTATCACCATTCTCAACTCACTGATGGGGACATAGGTGACAAAGCTAAAATGGGACCCAGGTCTGTTCAGTTCCCAAGATGCTGCTCTCAAGCTCTCCGTAGCACAGAGAGAGACATGTGATAGATTCTAAGACATGTGTTAGATTCAGCTGAGACCAGGCCACCTCCCGTTGCACAGGTAGAGGTCCTGGGCGGGCACCAGCCCTGCCTCCCCAGTGTCCCCATGCCCAATGGACTGGTTGCCCTTCCCACTGGGAGGCCTGACATTCTCTGGGACATCCTGTTCACCATGACACCTGCACTCCCGGCTCCAGGGTCGGGGGCGGGCTTTGCACAAAGGGCTTCTGAAAGCCATTCTGGTTTGAGGAACAGTCACACCACCACCCCTGGCCACAACTCATGGCCACCTCCGGCGCCAACTTCAGAATTCAGTTCCTTCCCTAGAGTCCCCCCAGCTCAGCTCAGATGCCCTCAAGTTCAGAGACTGACTTTGGCAGTGAAGGGCTGTTATCTTGGAAGTCTTCCCAGGGGCTCATTCTGGCTTTTACGGTTTTCATGAACATAGTGGACTTGCAGTACATTTCCCCAATACTTGTTCACGTGGAGCTTCTTACTAGTTTGCCATCCAGATGGTTTGGAAATCAAGGAAGCTGCTCTATTAGCCTTGAGTTGGTTGTTTTGAATTTGGAGATTCCAGCCTCGGTCAGAACATAAGTGAAACAGCTGGCCATGATGATCTGTCTACAACACGAGCCTCGCAAAGCGGCAAGGGGCAGATTCTGTTCAAAATTCTTCTTTGTTTTAAATAACGAATACAATTACCGATCGCTTTTCACCTTTGATTTTTCAGACGAGTGTACTTAAGTTAATTTTCTCCCCAGTTTTTACTCTTGGTTTTGAAACAGAGCCCCCATATCAACAAGTAATTTATTATGGAATGGCCCGTGAGTTTTTTCTAGTTAATCTGTCTCTAAATGATAACTTGCCATTGCAAAGTATATGGCTAGAGATAAAAGCAGGACTGAGATTAGAAAAAAAAAAAATATACAAATGAGAGGGAAAAAAAGAAGCTGTGGTTTTTCATTTTTCCCCTCAAGCATAAATTGTTGAGTAAGGAGATTTTTAAAAGCCAGAAATCGCTGAGGAGTGAACCAAAGCTGGAAGCCACTGCACTGGCACAAGACACATCTGGCGTTGCAGGGTTTTGAGGAGGGTTTGCTCCAGCGGGTAACTAACCACGCTTACCCACAGCCTAGCTCCTGTTATCCCCAGGGAGGACATTTTCAGAGACAAGAGGGAGAGAGGACAAATGCGAAAAATCAACATCCAAATTAGAAACTACCTAGATTGTGTTGTTTGTCTTGGGCCAACTGTGCGTTTGATTTCCTGATTGCTCAGAGCAAGCATAACAAAATCCATCTGACCCGGTGATTTTGACAGATTCATCTCAAAAGCTACCAGCTGAATTTGATGTGCCCACACCAGTGAGTCTCCACCGGGGACAACTGTGGCCCCCAGGGGACATCTGGCAGTGTTTGGAGACATTTTTGGTTGTCAAAACTGGGAGGTGTTGCTATTGGCATGTGGTAGGTGGAGGCCAGGGATGCCGCTTCACCTCCTCCAGTGCACGGGACGGCCCCCAGCAGAGAAGGATCTGGACCACGACATCAGCAGTGCCGAGGCTGAGAAACCCTGGTGTGTGTGTGTGTGTGTGTGTGTGTGTGTGTGTGTGTGTGTCAAGGTGGGTTCCCGTGCTGGGGTCGTTGGTGTGCCTACACTAAAGTTTTTGAACCTGGAGATGTGAAGTTCAGGCTTCCCTCAGCTCAGGTACCTAAATTATCTAAGTATCTGAAGGATTAACGGGGTTCTGTTTCCTTTCACTAAAGCGGGTTCCCGTCTGGGGTCGTTGGTGTGCCTACACTAAAGTTTTTGAACCTGGAGATGTGAAGTTCAGGCTTCCCTCAGCTCAGGTACCTAAATTATCTAAGTATCTGAAGGATTAACGGGGTTCTGTTTCCTTTCACTAAAGCACAAAGATCCTCTTGCCTGGTGATACAGCCAGTGGTGAAAAGGACTTCTGAAAAAGGGTTCAGTGGAAAATGGTTCCTGGCTTAGAGCAGGGAACTTTGAAGGCAGCCCGCACGGGACCGGCGCCCTTCCTAGCGTCTGGGTCTGAATCCCGGGCTCCACAGCGGACTCCTGCGCTCGCCTGGGCCCGCCGGGCACTCTTGGCTTCTCTCCTGTGGAATCTGTCTGACTTGCGGTGGTGAAAGGTCGCCAAGGAGCAAAGCAGCAGGACTCCGGAGAACGAGCCGCGAGGCTACACTTGCAGTGATTTTATTGGCATGACAGGAGCTCGGGGCTTGCCAAGGACAACAGCGCTGCGCGGTGACCAAGACTGCAGGTTTCTGGGGTAAAATCTGTCCTGCTGCGCTGGACTGTCCCATTCCCACGGGATGGAACAGCCCGGGAGGAGACATGAAGGCGCAGCACCCCCTTTCTCCCCTCCCCAGCTCCGCGCCCCGAAGGAAAGTACACAGACTCTTTGCTCAGCCACCCCTCCTCGCCCCCTTCCTTCCACTCTTGCTGTCCTGGCACAGGGCTGCCGTGGCCTGTTTTTGCTCTGAGGGAGGACTCCATGACGGTGGACGGCCGTGTGACCTCTCACCCCAGCCCTGAGATAAATGTCCCCTTGTGGTGGATGTATCTGCAGCTCTTCAAACTGTGAACAAACCTTCCCTCCACTTTCCTTCAGACCCCGTTCATCTCTTCTTCAAATATCTTGCTTAGAAAGTCGGGGCTGATTGCAGAACTCCTGCAGGGAGACCTGACTTTGCTTCTTGCCCGTAGTGGAGTAAAGCGTGCTTGGCTGTACCTGCGCAGCGTGTCTTCCTGCAGGACCTGGCGCCTCAGGGCCAGGAAGCAGGTGCTAGGTGCTTCTCCTGCTCTCCTTCTTGAAATCCTCACAGCAATCCCAGACAGAGGTGAGGATCTGGTGAGCCCATTTGACAGATGAGAAAGTTGAGTCTAAGCTGGCATTTGCAGACTTTTGTTCATTCCTACGCCCTAAGAAGACGCAGCGGGACAGCAGTTAGTCCCGGAGATGGCACTTGTCTCCTCTACCAGGGGTCCTGTGGTCCTTTGCCTCCCCGGCCCAGGCCTGCTGGGCACCAGGAGTTAGGGGAGGGCCCAGGGTCGCTACCCTCCCCTAACTTCTTCCCCAGCTCTGCTGCAGGACACAGCTCTGAGTCCCAGCGGGTCTAGGATTCAGTGGGCAAGACCAGATTCTGTAGCCTTGGTCTGAGTGACGTGGAGCTTGTACCTTGCCGAGGGAGTCTCAGTGGGCCTGAGATCCTCCTGAAGTTTTTTTGGAGGTCCCAACCACCCCAGGGCCCGGCACCAGGAGCTGCCCCGGGTGCCTGGAGGTCAGCCTGCTGCGGGCGCGCATGTGGTGCCGGAACCGGCTTACCCCACACGGGGCCCAGGAAGAGCCTGGAGGTGAGGCAGGTGCTGGCCGGTGAGGCTGGAGAAGAGAGCGCAAAGCGCAGAATCACCGGCCTGGTGCACAGGCGCATGCAGCAGTCCCCAAGAAGCCCCAAGGAACTTCAGACGGCAGCTCCCTCCCTTCCGACCTTAGGCGGCGAGCCGGTGGGGGGAGGGTGGCACCTACCTCCCAAAAGCACCAGGACGCAAGCGTAGGGGAGCATGGCTGCGGGCATCCCGTCGGGGTGGCAGGACGGCCCCCAGGGAGAGGAGGCGTGGGCGCGGGGCTGTCCGGTGGCAGCGGACTTCGGGAGCCCTCCGGGGTCCTGCGAGGAAGTTGCGAGGGTCCTGCGCCCCCCCTCGGCGCTCTCACGCGCTCACCTCCCGGGCTGTTGATGGTTGTAAGTCGAGCTGCGCACTCATGGGTCCAAGCTGCCAGAAGAGGTGGAGACAGCCTCGGGCGTTGCGCGCACTGCCGCGCCTCGCGCCCAGCCCTCTGGCGCAGCTCCTCCTCCCATTCGGAAGCCCCAGTCGACCCCCCTCCGTGCCCGGGTTCTTGCCTCCCCGCCAGGTCTTTGCATTGAGCAGGGAGGCCTCCCTCAAACTCTTGCCCGAGACAAGTCAGACGGTGCGGTGCGCTCCTCCAGCCAAAGCGCACCCCTATCCAGGCCATTTCCTAGAAGGCCGAGGAGGTCGGGGGAAGCTCCTGTACGCCCTCTGGGCCCTCAGACCCCCGAGGCTTCTATTCAGGCCTCACAGATACGTCTTGGAAAAGTTGCGTCAACTTGGAGGCCGGCGAGTGCAGGAGCGCAGTGAATGTGGCCAACCTGGGGCGCCCCGCAGCCCACAGCCGCTCTCTGGGATTAGCTCGTCTCCGCCCCAAAGAGCATCTGGGCAGAAACAGTGTGGAGTAGACCAGGGCGGTTCCCCCCACCCCAACTCCTCCCCCCCCCCCCTTTCCCATCTGAGTGAGTCAGCTGAGGGTGGCAGCTCAAGAGGCAAGGCAGCTGCGAGGAGAAGGGGGGCGTATGGATGGGATGCCCCCAAACCAGTCACCTCCTACCCCGGACCCCAGGCCCCGGGCCTCCCCAGGCAGCTCCCCAGTGGCAGGCAAGCCTTGAAGAACAGGAGTAGCATCTGGGAAGGAGGACCTCCCAAGTTCTTGGATTTATGAATGAAGAAGCGACAGAGAATCACTTGCATTAGAGACATGTGACTGGATTGTTCCTACAGCGCACAGACCGCCTGGAGAACGGAAGTAAAGCTGTGTGGGGGTGGGGGTGGAGGCCTGAGATGCGTAGATCAAGGTGTCTGTTTTCATTGTGTTGTCCTTAACTGGGAGAGGGGGAGAGACAGAGAGAGAGGAGGTAGAACCAAGAAAGGAGAGAGAAAGTAAAAAGGGAGAGGGGGAAGAGAGAAAAGGGCAGAGAGAGAGACGCAAAGAAAGGTGGGGACAAAGGAATAAGGCTGAGGGGAGAGAGAGATGGACAGAAAGGAGAATGGAAAAGGGAGAAAGAATAAGAGAACGGGAAGAGGGAGGAAGAGAGGGAGAGAATAAGAGAAGAAAGATGGAGATTGTCCCCTTGGGGAGGACTTGGGCACGTGGGGACGGGTCCGTGTCCAGGGTGCCTGTCCAGGTGGTTGACCTGCCCTCTAAAGGGCTTATAGACCCACCCGTCCACATTTGTGGGCTGCTTGGCCCTGGGGGTTGGTAGACAGCACCCCATCTTTTGATTCATTAGCAGAAGCTTGGGTGAGGCTCCCAGGGGCCTCCGGAGCCTTTCAGCTTCAACCCAAGGACCCCCGACTGGGGACCCCCGGGGCTGTCCTTAGCTTTCCTCTTCTCTGGAGGCAGGAATGAGGCCACAGAGTGATCTTACACGAATGGAAATGTGAGAGAAGCGATCAATTCCCTTCCTGAAAATGACATTTTTTTCGGGTCTCTATGGATTGCTGAGAACAGTGTGAGACTCGAGGTGGCCTTCCTGAAACCGCGATGGCACCAGCTCCCCGGCAGACAGTGGCCGCACGCATGCCACATATTAAGTTTCTGTGAAAGGGGTAACTTACGGGCGGGAGGGGAGCTGCGAGGGGTGATTATTTATAATTTTTGCATAATTGTGATTATTTGGGGCAATTTTGCGCCTTTACATTTTCAAAATGTACAATTATGGATAGTTTTAAACACTGCATTCTGTTCTGTCCATGAGTGTTTGAGGCTGTACTCTCTGGGCTTCCTGAATGCGGGCATTTTGCTGTCCCAGGTCACTGACGGGGCTTTGAGTATTAATGGTTTGACACGGGGAGGAGGCGTGACACTGATGTCTCAGGTGGGGTTATGATTCAGTACTTTCAGAACCTATTGTACTGCTATTAGAAATGGGAACTTCCCTGCAAAGCCTGGTGCTCATGTATTAATTGTTGTATCGGCTTATTTATAAATAAGAGGAATTTCTGATAATTATTTCGACCTTGGTGTGGGCCAGGTGCTTTAGATGCATATACTTTATATCCAGACAGCCTGATGAGAAGTAGAAAGTATTCTTGGCCCCATTTCACAGAACGAGGAAACTGAGTTCAGAGAGGTTGGACCACTGTCCCAAGGCCAGACAGCTGGAAGGTGGCAGAACTCCTGAGTCCCTGCTTGTGTCTGGGATGCTCTTGTGTCTGCACAGGATGCCCTGTCTGACCGTGCTCTTGGCTTCATTCTGAATCTGGAGATCCTAAACGAGAAAGCCCATTCTATAATAACAGCCATTCTTCGAAGCTTAGGAATGACAGGAAAGCACTATTGCAAAGTGATGCCTAAGTCTTAGCTAAACTCATCTGTTGAGATTGAGAGTTACAGGTGGTACCCGCGCCTGCCCAGCCACACCCTACCGGTGGGTGATGCTTGGGAGGATGGGAGAAGCTGGAAAGGGCCTTCGAGGCCGACTGGTGCCGCTCTCCTGGTTTTACAGGTGAGGAAACAGAGGCACAAGGGCAGATAAGCTCCCTGTTCAGCGCAGATTTTATTCAAAAAAAAAAGAAAGAAAGAAAAGAAAAGAAAAGAAACAAGTAGCAAAGTAAAGGAGCTGTTACATTGGAGGATTACTGGACTGAATGTCAATATTATGACATAGAAAAAAAATATATATATATGTGTGTGTGTCCTCTTGGGCATGTTACTTAACTTCTTGTCTCATATGTAAAATGGGTGTTGGGAAATTATGTGAGAGAGTATATGTAATGTGGAGCACTTAGAATGGTATATGGTTCAACCAAAGACTATATGTGCGTTTGCTTTCTTCATGGTATCTTATTGTGTATATGCAATATAATTAATGTAGCTAGTTTCCCATCGATCAATGTATAGCATTTTCAATTCCTCCGCTATTCCAGTGTTGTTGCGAATATCCTTACATATCCATCATGAACGAGACTCCCCTCTGGTCACAAGGAGATCAAACAAAAGAGAGAGAAGGAACTGAAGCTAAACTTATTTGGCTTCAAACACAGATATTTATTTTTAACCCCAAAAGTTATATTGTCCAGACCTTGCATTTTGCTGAAGAAAGGGTGGTTTTCGCTCGATTCCTGACCCCTTTCTTACCTACAGGACCATCACCCGAGAACGCTGGAAATGGTAGTAATTATAAGGTTTTTTGGGGGAGAAGCCAATTATTTCCTGAGCCCAGACTCTGCTGGCCGTGAGTCATGTCCGTGGGCATTATCGCGTTTTGGCCTCCAGAGGTGCGCTTTTCTGAGTTGTCAATGGCAGGGGCCCTCCCCAAGTGGTCAGAGCGGCAGGGGGTATGGGGGGGACACAGGGCGGGCTTTGCTGGAGCCAAGCACAACCCATGTGAGGGAGGGCCATGAGCCAGATGTCCAGGGTGGGTGGGAGGCCGGCCCTCTGTGCTCTGTGTTTATCTCCCACCCCACCCTCCCCCCAGATCAAAGTCCGGGGCTGGGCCGATAGGAGAGCTTCGCAGACTGGGCCGCTTTCTTCCCTCTCCACCGAACACCTACCTCCTCAACCTTGTCCCTGTTAAAAACACCACGGGAAGATAAGATCACCCCACGAAATCTTGCTATAAAATGGTCTGTTTCCTCTGCTTGTTATCAAGGGTGTCTGATCAAAGAAGTGGTGCCTGGGCCTGGTTATCTAATAACCAAATAAACATCCAGGCCGGCTTCCCTGGCTGGGAAAGGCAGGCAGGGGCTGCTCTGGATGAAGTGAGGGGCAGATCAGAGCAGGCTGGACGCCCCCCTTGGTGACCGTTCCTGCCTACAGAGCATCACATTTGCTGGCCCTGGAGTCAACCAGACCCTCACTACCACCCCTGTGTCTCAGATGGGGAAACTGTTCTTGTCCTCTGGGAAAGCCCATGGTCCCGGGGTAACGGACACTCATCTGTCGCCTCTGGTAGTTGCCGTGGTGGCGGCCTTGCCCCCATTGCACTGGTGCATGTCCCTGCCTGCACCCACCCCCATGCCTCGCACAGGCCTTTTGTGTGATGGGGGCTCACTACGTTTTGTTGAATGAATGAATGAATGAATGAATGATCAAGTAAACTATCACAGAATGAGCACTGGGTCATGTCAGAAGACTTGATGGCAAATCTTAATGCTGCCACTTAGCAACTCACGAGGGTTACGGCCAGGGTGAGGGGACCAGGGCTCGAAAGCTGAAGGGGTGCCCACCGTCAGGCTCTGCAGGTGCAGGGTGAGTGCCTGAAGCCGAGCACCTCCTTACATCCTGAGCCCTGGGTGCCTCCCTGGCCTCATCTGGTCCCAGCCCTGCAACTCACCCTGTCTCCGTTTCCTCCTCTGTAAAACGGGGATAATGCCCACGCCACCCTGTAGGATTAAGAAGACAGTGCCCAAGTGGGCACTGGGTGAGGATCCAGTCTTCTCAGGCCCTGAGGCTCCCTGGAGGGAAGTCAGAGCTCACACCGCTGGTGTGAGATGGAGCCTGGATGAGACCTGCTCTGGGGCTTAAGGTCCTGCTCCTCAGCCTGACCCTAACCGCCTGGGTCCGAAATGACTCCCGGTTCACCTGCCTCTGGGGGAGGCAGATTGTGAGAATGCCCTGGGATGCCCAGAAGCTCCTCCCACCAGCCCTCACACCTGTCTCAGTCTTCTTGCCCCCTCAGGCTGTTGTGGGGAGGAAGGGGTCACTGGAGGGCTCAACCCAGCACCTGACACATAGATGTTCAGTGAACACATTTTGTTTTTTGTTTTTTGTTTTTAATTTTATTTATATATTTATTTATTTTTGGCTGTGTTAGGTCTCCGTTGCTGCGCGCGGGCTTTCTCTAGTTGCGGCAAGCGGGGGCTACTCTTTGTTGCGGTGCGCGGGCCTCTCACTGCAGTGGCTTCTCTCATTGTGGAGCACGGATTCTAGGCGCGCGGGCTTCAGTAGTTGCGGCACGTGGGCTCAGTAGTTGTGGCTCACGGGCTCTAGAGCACAGGCTCAGTAGTTGTGGCACACAAGCTTAGTTGCTCCGCGGCATGTGGGATCTTCCCGGACCAGGGATCGAACCCGTGTCCCCTGCATTGGCAGGCGGATTCTCAACCACTTGCGCCACCGGGGAAGTCCAGTGAACACATTTTGGATGGATGGATGGATGGGTGGGTGGATGGATGGATGGATGGGTGGATAGTTGGATGGGTGGATGGACTGATGGGTAGAATGACCTACCACTACAGTTGTCATGATTGTTGTTCTGGGTGGTACCCAAGCTGAAAGGTTTGTTGATTTTATCCTCTCATTTATTAATTTGTTAGTAATAACTCACTAATACACTAACTCGCCCTTGGGTTGCTGGTCCCCACGCTGTGGAGATACATCATAATCCCTGCATTCAACATGTGCTCATTCACCAAAGTTGGGCTGTATGTTCCCCCATGAGTAGCCCCAGAGCCCAGCGTAGTGGGAAGATGCTTCAGCTGTTTCCTGAGTGAAGAGCAAACACTTGTTCTTATTGTCACCAGGCTTGCTTGCCTGGGAAGTTTGTGGTTGGTTTTCTTTTGAAATCTCTGGGTCCCCAGCCCAACCAGCATCTCTAATTGATGCCAGGGCTGCTCATGTTTGGCACAAAGTTGATTATTTCTCTCCCATTATAACATGAACACTGTTCCTGATATACTTTTTGGAAAATACAAAGTAGAAAGAATAAAAATGACAGTCACTCGGAATCTGACCACACGAGGACAAGCCTGGCTGACATTGGGATGTATGATTTTCTTCTCCATTTATATTTATATTTTCCTTTGATGTTGGACAGAGTTCATGTCTTGGCGCTGCCGTGCATGAGGTGTGTGACCTTGGGCAACCTCTCTGAGCCTTTCTGCTCATCTAAAAAGGGAGAATCCTCAGAAAGGTGATTCCGGAGGTGATGGCAAGTAGCTGTCAGCATGGGGCCTGGTGGGTTGTGGTCCTTGGTAAGATGGTGGCCATTTCCATTTGTGGGTGACTCCTGCATGCCTGAGACCCCACGCAGGGCACAGTACTCAGGGCGCTGGAGCTGGCAGGGCCTCAGGAGATGGACAGTTCCCTGGTTTTCAGATGGTCCCTTGGGGGCCTCCTTGGGCAGAGGAGATGGGAAGGGGGCAGGTGCAGGGCTCTGAGCTCCCGTTCCTCCCCGGCCCAGGCTGTCTTAGCTTCATCCTAGTGTCTTTGTCGGGGGGGGGGG